TGTAGACCTATAACTTAGAAGGCATGTTCATGCAGACCAAGAGATCAAAACTCACTAGAATGATAAAATACCACCATTATAGAAAACCTCCTTTTTAAAAAGGGAAAGCTTCATAAAAGCCCTGTAAGACAGACCAATGCATCTCTAAAGCAGCATTTCTCAACCTGTGGATTGTGACCCAAAAGTGGGTCACAAGAATATATGAAAGGGTCATGGACAAACTGTAAAACTGGGTCAACAAACTTTAAAAATGGATTCTCTTTTAAAGGAGAAAAATGTGGGAAACCGTGGCTTTTTCCTTACAGGTTGGCAGAGTTCCAGTCTGCAAAGGGCTGCTTGGGGCCCCCCAGGCCCTCCCACACACACACCTTCCCCATCCCCTGCCCCACACACTGGGGGGCTAGGGCCTGGGGGCAGGAGGCAACAGGTTGAGAGTAAGGGGCACTGGGTCGGGACTGGCCATCTATGTTTACAAATGAGTCCTGGTACAAATTGGGTTGAGAACCACTGCTCTAAAGAACCTTTGTGTCTGTTATCCTGATACTACCATACTAGTACACTAAATTTCTTTTATAAATGAACAAATATTGAAAACTTGCTCAGTTTCTTCCCTGACATATACCAATATTGTTTATTATTTAAAAGCCAGAGAAAGATACTTCTGCTGTAATTTTGGCACATTTATCTATGCCTTGCAGACCATCTACATTATAACCATGGCATACCTTAACATCAACTGCCCTGAGAAAAATCACTCAGTGATCTCACACTTAGAAAGCATAAAAACATGACCTGAGGTTTTAAACTGAACAGGAAATAGTCTGAGAGGCTTACACAACTGGTTACCAAGTATTTAATGTGAACAACTGAAGCACATTTTTTTCAAGTGACAAAAATTCAAAACTGGAAGGGGATGGACACTAGGGCTATGTGAAATTTCAGCAGCTGTTTCATTTCAGAGGTGTTTTGGCCCGTTTTGGTGCCCAAAACACTGAATCCAAAATGAAACGGAAGGCTCCAAAATTAAACGAAGCCATCTGAAATGTTTTGGAAATGTTTTCTGGAGCCGGAAAACAGAAACTAATAAGAGGGAGGGGGAAGAAGGATGGAAGGACTGCTCTGATATTGACATCTGTAGCTGGCCAGTGTCTGAGATCTGTCCCTGAGGTCCCTTCCGATGGCAACTTGCTGTCATCCCACGCACGGATATGGGGACCCGCAACTACTGGGAGGAGTCTGGCACATCCTCACAGCCATCCTGGGGGGGCGCAGGCGCAGATATAGGGACCCATGCCCACTGGGAAAAGTCTGGTACAGCCTCACAGCCCTCCCAGGGGGGCACAGGCCCCCAGATTTGCTTGCAGGATGACAGCAGGCTGCCACTGCCAGCTGGGGCCAGCACCAGCACCAAGGCTGCTTAGCGCCCCCATGGCTACCCAGGCCCTATCCCCTGCCCCACCCAGCCTCCCTGCACTTGTGGTGGGGTGGAAAAAAAAAGCCCTGCACTCACTAGCTGTAGCAAGGGCTCTGGGGCCTCATGGCAGAACCCCACCAAGCAACCCCCACTCCCTGATCTCCACCCTCCACCTGGCCATGCCCCTGATGGTCCCCCCACCTGGCCCCAGCCTTCCAGCACTTTTCTTTTTTGTTTTTTCAAAGTTCTGAACTCACTGGCTGTAGGAACGGCAATTGGGACCTCTGGGTGCTCACGGCAGAGCCCCCTTGCGCAGCACGGGGGCACTGGGGATCGAACCCCCCTTCCCCCCTGCACCTAGCACCCACACGGCAGCTGTTACATCACGCGAGTGCAGTGTGGCTTGGCAACACACCACACACTGTCTGGGAGCTGGGGCAGCTTCACGTGTCAGCCGAAGCCTGACACCGCTCAGCCCCAGCGGCCCCAGCTCCTAGACAGCGCACCACGCCCAGCCGAGCTGTGCTGCACCCATGTGATGCAACAGCTGCCACGTGGGTGACAGGTGGTGATTCTTGCTGCCCCCCACTATGCTGGGGGGTTCTGCCATGAGCACCCAGAAGCCCCAATTGCCATTCCTGCAGCCAGAGAGTGCAGAGCTTTTTTTTTGCTTTTTTTTTTTTTTTAAGTTCTGGGCGGCTGGGGCCAGCCAGGCGGGAGATGGGGCCAAGCAGGGCATCCATGGGGGCTTCTCCTGTGGATCCCCCCACTTAGGGAGAAGCAAGCACAGCTGGAGGAGCCGCGGGAGAACCTGCAGCACCCGGCTGTGCCTGCCTCTCCCCAGCCAATCCAAATATCTGAAACAGTCTAGCTCCATCCTCTTTCGAACACATTTTCAGATACTTGAAGGTTGCTATTAAGTTCCCTCTCAGTCTTCTCTTCTCTAGATTAAATAAGACCAGTTCCATCATGCTCTCCTCATAAGTCATATCCCTAGCCCCCTCACCATTTCTGTCACCCTCCACAGGACTTTTTCCAATTAGTCCACATTCTTTCTGTACTGAGGGGCCCAAAACTGAACACAGTAGTCCAGATGTGGCCTCACCTGTGCTGAATAAGGGGAATAATCACTTCCTTTGACCTACTGGCAACACACCTACTAATGCAGCCCAGTATGCTGTTAACCTTCTTGGCAACAAGGACACACTGCTGGCTCATATTCAGCTTATTGTCCACTGTAACCCTCAGGTCCTTTTCTGCCAAGCTGCTGCCCAGCTAGTCAGCCCCCAGCCTGCACTGGTGCATGGGATTGTTCTCTCCTAAGTGCAGGACGTTGCACTTGTCCTTGTTGAACTTCATCAGATTCCTTTTGGCCCAATCCTCCAATTTGTCTAGGTCACTCTGAATCCTAGGCCTACCCTCCAGTGAATCTACTACTCCCCTCAGCGTGGTGTCATTTGCAGACTTGCTGAGGGTGCACTCTATGCCAGAGAGAGTCCAGAAGAGGATGACACAAATGGTGAGGGGGCTGGGGCACATGACTTCTGAGGAAAGACTGAGGGAACTGGCCTTATTTAGTCTAGAAAAGAGAAGACAGAGGGAACTTCATAGCAGCCTTCAACTACCAGAAGCGGGGTTTGAAAGAGGATGAAGCTGGACTGTTCTCAGTGCTGGCAGATGACAGAACAAGGAGCAATGGTCTCAAGTTGCAGCAAGGGAAGTTTAGGTTAAATATTATTAGGAAGAATTCTCTTACTAGGAGGGTAGTGAAACACTGGAACAGGCTACACAGAAAAGTTGTGGAAGCTCCATCCTTGGAGATTTTCAAAACCTGGCTAGACAAAGCTTTGGCTGGGATGATCCAGCTGGGGATGGTCCTTCTTTGAGCAGAGGGCTGGACTAAATGACCTCCTGAGGTCCCTTCCAACCCTAACTTTCTATGATTCTATGAAAATCTGTAAAAGAATAAACTTCAATTAAAAGGCAATGTTTACCACAGGAAAAACTGATTGTTGTCATGTAATGAGTTTTCCTCTGTAAAGAACAACTGACAAAGAAATTGGAAAAGCTGAAAGTTGGGCAGTATGTCATTTTGGGGAACGCAGGGAGGGGATGAATCAGTGAGATGCGACTAGCTTTCTAAAAGCTATGGACCAAATTCCATGGTAATTTATTGAGTAAAACTCATTGTAGTCAACCAATGTTTTGCCCAGCCAAGTACTTCAAAACTGATCTCCAAGGCCTTGGTAAAACAAGACATTCAAAGAGCAGCCTTACATTTCTCTAAAACAGATGCCCAGGAATCTGCTATGGTTCTAATCTAGTGCAAAGGGTTGTCTCTCCATTAAAAAAAAAAAAAAGACAGATCAATCACCATCTCTATACTGCTTTATAAAGGGTGGGTCCTATGTATAGTAATCATTACCAGGGCATTCATTCAACATATCACATTGGGAAGAAAGGTTGATACGGTATAATAAACAAAATTCAATCCAACCACCTCAAACATATGGCAGGCATCAAGGTTTTTCAGAGTTCTACTAGATCCACTAATCTTAATTTCTGATTACTTCCTGTGAAAGGGAAAGCCTTCATAGTTAAGTTATTCATTTTTTTAAGGAAAGGATGCATTTCTAATGGAAAACCAACTTTTTAAGTACTCAGGGATTACTTTGAATCAGTAATATCTGTATGGGATCAAGCTGGAAAACATGACAACATTGTGTGTACAAAAATTGTTGAATGCCTTGACAATGCCTTTTCATTAATTCAGATAAGAAGCTATTAAAAATGCTCCATCATCTGCTGTAATTGTTAGAATGGTAATCAATAGGGCTGTGCAAAGCTTCAGTTGCTGATTAGTTTTGGCAGGGATTCAGCCCGATTTGGTGGCCAAATCTCTGAATTTGAATTGAATCAAGAGACCCTTTAGTCTCTCTGAACCGAACTGGAACCCTCCAAATCTATTTGGAGAGATTCAACGATTTGAACATGGACACAGCTTTAAATGTTTTTTCTATATACCTCAAGGTACCAGGCAGCTCGTGAATGGTGAGACGGTGGGGTGGACGGAGCATCCCACAGGAATGCAGGTGGGGTCCCCAGCAGGCTTGGCAGCAGACCCGGAAGTGGACCAGAAGCACTTCCGGTACACTTCTGGGTCAGGACAATAAATCAATGACTTGAATCATTATCCCCAATACGGGCTGAATCTGAACTAAAAACCGCCCATTTTGCACACCCCTAGTAATCAAACTCCCAAATGTGAGGTAAGTACTGGGCAACAAAACCAGTGAAACTATAAGATTTAATAACATTTGTTTTCGATTGGGTTTGGAATGCTTAGACTAAAAACACATGTAGACTGACACAGTGTGAGGGAACGTAAGGAAGTTAGGTGCCTAAATCTCAGTTCATCTGAACTGCACTGCAGGTCCTTGTAGACCTCTGAAAATCCCACCCTTCTTTGGTAGCCGACTTGAAATCTTAAAACAATTAAATCTGTCACATGACTTTTGAAGAATAACTCCAGTGTTAGGCTACAGGTAGATAACACACACACTCAGATAGAAAGAAGAAGTAGTACCTCTTGAGGTTTCAATTTTTCTATGTCTGTGGAGAGGTCTGAGCTTTTTCCATGGAGACTGCCATTTTCCTGTGAACAGGCAAGTAGTAAAAACAATTAGGACAAGAGTAAACATTCTGTATTAAAAACCATGGAAAAAGCATTGGACTTTGAAGTCTTCAGTTAAATTTCAATACTTCAAGGACAGAAAGAGGTGACCTTAAATTTTCTTTTCTTTTAATTTCGTGTATGCATGTATCATCACTAAACGTTATCTAGGAACCTCACATAAGATAGCCTGCCTCTTATATACCCTGTTCTCTGAGAAACTGATTTTCTAATCAGTGTTTTTATAACCAGGGATCATGGTTTTCCCCAATTCAAATTCACAAATTCTCTGATAAAAAAAAAAATCACAAGTTCTCCGACTAAAACCGCAAAATCTGTGATTAAAATGAAAGGCCACTATATATACAGGTATCCATTAGCACAATGTTTTGTTGATATAGTTACAATTTTAAAGCAATTTGGCTATAATAAAATAAATTCTAAATACATATAAATGTTGGTATTTGATTTTGGGCTATTAAAGGCAAATCTGAGCTCCCCTGCCCCCTTAACTCACAGAACACAGGTCCAGGCTCCTCACTTGAAAGCCACAGCCCCACAGCCCTGCTGGTGCCCCTCATTCCCAACTCACAGCCGCCCTGGCCCTGCTGGTGCCCCTCACTCCCCAACCACAGCCCCGCCCCCCCAAGCCCTACTGGTTGCCCCCCTCAGCCACCACCCACAGCTCCTGCCCAAGGGGAAAGTCTGCAGTCCCCTGCCCACAGCAGCAGTGCCCAAGCCCTGGCTGCCACCCACAGGATGTAGCAGCTGCTTCAGAAGCTGAACCCAGTTCCCCCTGCTGGTTCCTGCCTGCTGCAGGCACAAGTGGGGCCAGCTCCCTGATGCTACATGCACACCTGGGGGGCAAAGGGAATCTGTGCCTCCTAGATCTGTGCATGGGGTGGGCTGCCTGCCCTGCTACCCTCCGCTAGGGCCTCTGCAACCCAGTGGGTGCAACCCAGGATGGCAGGGCAATGTGGGACCACACAGCAAAGCTCCTTGCTGCTCCAAGCTCTGCACTGCCCTGGCAAGGTATCACTTGTGTGGCAGCAGTGAGGGGGCATAATCCCACTCTGCCACCCCAACTACTGACATGTGGGCAGAGGACACCTTGCCAGGGCAGCATGGAGCTCACAGTGGCAAGGAGCTTCCTCCTGTCCTGTCCTACTTCCCTTCGTTCTGTCCTGCTGCACCTGGTCACACCTGATGGGCTGCAGAAGCACCAGGAGAGCCACAGGGCAGGGAGCCCAACTCCACAGCCCACACTCCAGATCTGGGGCACGGGTCCCCGTTCCCCCCAGGATTGCATTCTATTGCGGGGAGGAGCACCTCCCCCCGCAGCTTACCTGTGGGAGCTCTCCAGGCTGCTTGGCAGCCATGTGCAAATACATGCACATGGTGCCCCCTAGCTGGGTGTCCTCCTCCCTCTCCCCTCCCAGCCCCTTGCATGCTGGAACTCTGCCAGCCTGCAGAGAGCTCTTTGCAAAAGTGCAAAATCCTCAGGTTTCTCCTGAGGATCCTTAAGTTCTCTTTCATTTAAAATGAAATAGCCATATTTTCCTCGGGTAAAGGGTGAAATCCATATTTTTCTCCATTTTCCCATGGGAAATGGAAAACCCAGATCCCTTTTCATAACTCAAGCCAACACTCTCACACCAGGACTTCCTCATGTCCAGCAGCCCAACTTGTCAGCTGATCAGATTAAAGGCGGGGGGGGGGGGGGGGGGGGGGGGCAGAAGTTATCTTCATCCAAAATTTGTGAACATGAAACAGTAGCAAAATTAAGTCACACAAACTGAACTAGAAAATAAAAGAGAAAAACCAACATAACCAAAATACATCTGTTACCCAGAACACATATGAAGACATTGATTCTATATTTTTTTTCTTAAAACTATTACACAAAGTCCAGTGCTTTCCCATTAATGTCAATTCAGAATGGAGTTTCTCCCTATTCTAATTTTTGCAGAAAAATGTGGCCATGGACTAAGGCTGTGTACAAACATTCAAATAATCTGGGAGAATTCACCCAGGTTTGTTCTTGCAGTAGAAAACCTTACCCTGAGCAACATGTACAGACATTCAAATGCTGAGGCCCTAAAGTGTGGAAAGCTTGCAGTGCTAACCCCCGATCTGTATAGTGTCATGATGTGAACACATCTCGTTATGCTCTGCAGGATCCCTTAGTTCACCTGGCAACAGATGACAGCAGTGCACAGAACAACCCTGACTGGCTAACTCAGATGATCCATGGTCAACTTGCGCTGTCAGTAATGTACAGACTCTCCCAAAAGAAATTCTGCTGGAGCTGATTTAACCCTTGTTGGGCCCAGGTTATTTTTCTTCTGGAGTGGCCATTTTTACTCTGGGAGAAAAAGCCTAAACATTTATATACTCATGGTTTCTCCTGGGAAAGCAGCAACTCTCCCAGAAGAACCTGAATGTCTGTACAAGAACTAAGTTTTCCACTGGTATTTGTTAACCATCAGCATTTTTTAAATAGATAGCTTATAATAAAATGACCTTTTGGGGAAAAACAGAAAACTGAAGTTCTCCTTTAAAAGGAATAAATTTATTTACAGAGAAATTGATACATTTAGCAAACCCCAGCATCCATCTTTTTTTTTTTTTTTTTTAACAACAACAAAAAAAAAAAACCCAAGAAATTTTTTATACATCTATTTATTTCCTTATGTGAAATGAAAGATAGGATATATCTGTCCAAGCTACATTCACTACATCTTTTTTAACTTCCTATTTTACTAGTTTGGATATCTAATTGGCATACAGTTTACACAATGTCTACTTTGCCCTTAAAATCAATTTCTTCTGACACTTCTGCAATTCCAAAGGACTGTGTCTACCACACAACTCATGAGATGCACATTGTACTAGGTGATGAAAGCCTACAAAAGAACACCCAGAGGGTTCTTTCTAAGGTCAAAACATAGGACAAAGAGGGAAAATCTAAAATTAGAGAGATCTACTAGGCATTAATCCTGTCAAGAACTGCAGCAACATTTATATTGTATGGATCCACAGCTAGTAATTCACAGGTTGGGTGACTCCCATAAGGAACTTTTATGAACAGCCAAATGCCAGGCTGTATGCTGAGTACAGGATTAGCTCCTATGTTCAGACAACTATGTGGCTTTCTAAAAACTTTGTAAAAAAATACATAGCTCTGAAAGATGCCTGGGTTAAATTGCAATTTTTAAAAAGAATGTTTACAACAGTTTGGGAGCATTTTATTAATGAAACTTATTGCTTCCATCCTGGCAAAACTCTCAGCTGAAGTCAAGGGAATTTTCCTTTCAAGAACTACATGACAAAAAAGTAAAGCAATTTTAAAAGGAGGAAGGGGGATCACAAAATGTTACCCTCTGGGACTCTCATGTTATTTCATTTACAGTTAAAAAGGCACCTTCAAAACATAATGTTTCTCTTTAGTAGTGCTTTCTAGGCTTATTTCTCCATTCAAATATAAAACCTGTCCTCTATAAATTCTTTATATTGTTCACAAATTCTGCTAAAATAAATTGCTGAACTTCATGTGCATGTCAGTATTCCCTAAACTTTAGAACTTTCCCCACAAAAGTATATTTGGCCAGTATGGTAATAAATATAGCATACACCACCTTGGGCTTAGAAACTAAACTGGTTCACCTGATTCTTGTCTTGAAACATTTATGACCAAGTAACTAAATCCTTGGATGATGGTGTCGCTGTAGACGTAGTCTTTCTAGACTTTAAGAAGGCCTTTGACACGGTCTCTCACCCCATCCTCATCAATAAATTAAGCGACTGTGGTACTGATGCCTACACGCTTGGATGGGTAAAAAATTGGCTGATGGGGTGCACCCAGAGAGTAGTGGTGGATGCGTTGTACTCAACCTGGCAAGATGTGAGCAGTGGGGTACCCATGGGCTCGGTCCTTGGGCCCACACTGTTTAACATCTTCATCAGCGACTTGGACAGCGTGCTGTCCACCCCCTCGTCCAAGTTTGCTGATGATACTAAGATGTGGGGCGAGATGGACACATTTGAAGGGAGAGAGAGGCTGCAACTAGATTTAGACAAACTACAAAAGTGGGCAGATGAGAATAGGATGGGGCTCAACGTAGACAAATGCAGAGTGCTGCACCTTGGGAGAAGGAATCCACAGCATACATACAAGCTGGGGCGTTCCCTTCTTGAAAGCACAGAGGAGGAAAGAGATCTTGGAGTCATTATCGACTCCAAGATGAACATGAGCCACCAATGCCAGACCACAGCCA